ACCCTCTTTCTAGTTCTGAACCGACTCCTATAAAGGCGTGATAGTTACTCATTTTCAGTACTTTCTTCCCAAATGCTACCAGGAATCCCTTTTTTGGACCTAGGCTGGGAAGGCTCTGAAGATAGGAAGGGAGAGCAGATAACTGTGATAACAGACACTATACCTGAGCTCATGTTCCTGTTTCTCTGCAGTAAAATGTTATTCTATCAACTAGCCAATCTGCTTCATAAGGAGCCTTTATTTTTCTTTTTTTTTTTTTTTTTTTTTTTTTTTTTTAAAGAAAGAGGATCTCGGCCAGGCTTGGTGGCTCATGCCTGTAATCCTAGCACTTTGGGAGGCCAAAGCAGGCGGATTACCTGAGATCAAGAGTTCAAGACCAGCCTGGCCAACATGGAGAAACCCTGCCTCTACTAAAAATACAAAAATTAGTTGGGCGTGGTGGAACATGTCTATAATCCTAGCTACCCGGGAGGCTGAGGCAGGAGAATTTGCTTGAACCCAGGAGGTGGAGGTTGCAGTGAGCTGATATCAGGCCACTGCACTCCAGCCTGGGAGACAGAGCAAGACTCCTACTCAAAAAAAAAAAAAAAAAAAAAAAGAAGAGACAGGGTCTCACTCTGTGACCCACACTGCAGTGGTGCGATCACAGCTCACTGCAGCCTTGACCTTCCCAGCTGAAGTGATCCTCCCACCTTAGCCTCTCAAGTAGCTGGGACCACAGGCATGGGTGACCATGCTTGGCTAAGTTGTTTGTTTGTTTGTTTTTGTAATGATGGTGTTATGCCATGTTGCCCAGGCTGGTCTTGAACTCCTGGCTTCAAGTGATCTGCCCACCTCCACTTCTCAAAGTGTTGGGATTACAGGCATGAACCACCGTGCCCAGCCAGGAGCCATTTTTAAAATTGTATATTTTAAAGCTTTGTCTTAAAATTTCAAATACACCAAAGTAGAAAAGAGTTTAATGGACCCCATGTACCCATCACTCAGCAGTCATCAATAGTCTGCTGTGCTACCCTTCTTCCTTCATCTATTCTGCCCTAGCTTTTTGTGGGGATAGTACGGAGTATATTTTTTAAAATCCTGACATCATTTCACCTGTGCATTTGTCAGTATACATCTGTATCAGATAAGAATTTTTAAAAATAGTCACCATACCATTATTCATATTAAACAAATTAACGGTAATGTCTTTTGTTTGTTTTGTGTTTTTGTTTTGAGACGGACTTTTGCTCTTGTTGCCCAGGCTGGAGTGCAATGGCACAATATCGGCTCACTGCAACCTCGGCCTCCCAGGTTCAAGCAATTCTCCAGCCTCGGCCTCGTGAGTAGCTGGGATTACAGGCATGCGCCACCACGCCTGGCTAATTTTGTATTTTTAGTAGAGATGGGGTTTCTCCATGTTGGTCAGGCTGGTCTCGAACTCCCGACCTCAGGTGATCCGCCTGCGTCAGCCTCCCAAAGTGCTGGGATTACAGGCATGAGCCACCATACCCGTCCAATTAACAGTAATTTCTTAAAAATCACCCAATACCTATTTCATGTTCAGTTTTCTTCATGTGTCTCAAATGTCTTTTTACAGATCATTTGGTTCATTCATGATACAAAGTATACAATGTATTTGATTGATCAGTCTCCTTTAACCTGTAACCATTCCCTCTTCCTATTTTCATTCTACAGTATTTATTTGATGAGGAAACCGGGCTGTCACATACTGTTCCCTCATTCTGGAGTTGGGTGGTTCCATTCTTGCGGTGGTGCACGTGTTTCTGGGAGTCAGGAACTTGATTAGGTTCAGGTTCAATTCTTCGGAGAGCCGTAATGCTTTCTAGATAGTGCCCTGTATATCCTATTGTATCACATCAGGGGATACATGTTTGGTTGTCCCACTTTTAGTGATAATAAGATGATAAAGTCCTCCATCAACTTTTTTAACTGAAAATTTTCTTGAGATAATTATAGATTCACATGCAATTGTAAGAAATAATACAAAGAGATGGCCGGGTGCGGTGGCTCATACTTGTAATCCCAGCACTTTGTGAGGCTGAGGCGGGCAGATCACCTGAGATCAGGAGTTTGACACCAGCCTGGCCAACATGATGAGACCCTGTAGTACTTAAAATACAAAAATTAGCCCTGCATGGTGGTGCATGCCTATAGTCCCAGCTACTCAGGAGACTGAGGCAGGAGAATCACTTGAATCCAGGAGGCAGAAGTTGCAGGAAACCGAGATCGAATCACTGCACTCCAGCCTGGGCAACAGAGCGAGACTCTTTATCAAAGAAAGAAAAAAGTTTGTTCCTTTTTGTCCCAAGTAGTGTTTCATATTGTATATGAACCAGAATCTAATAATTCACCTGTTGAAGGACGTCTGGGCTGATTGTAGTTTTGGGCTGTTACAAATAAAGCTGCTATGAACATTCATGTACAGGTTTTTGTGTGAACAAAAGTTCTCATTTCTCTGGAATAAATGTCCAAGAGTGTGATTGCACTTGCCAGATCAAATGGTAACTGATGTTTGTTTTTTTGTATGTTTGTTTAGTTTTTGAGACAGAGTTTTGCTCTTGTTGTCCCAGCTAGAGTGCAATAGCACCATCTCGGCTCATCACAACCTCTGCCTCCCGGGTTAAAGCAATTCTCCTGCCTCAGCCTCCCAAGAAGCTGGGATTACAGGCATGCACCACCACACCCGGCTAATTTTGTATTTTTAGTAGAGATGGAGTTTCTCCATGTTGGTCAGGCTGGCCTTGAACTCCCGACCTCAGGTGATCCGCCTGCCTTGGCCTCCCAAAGTTCTGGGATAACAGGCGTGAGCTACCGCGCCCGGCCTGATGTTTGGTTTTATAAGAAACTAACAAACTTTCTCCAGTGACCATACCATTCCCACCAGCAATGTCTGAGTGATCCAGTTTCTCCTCATTTTTGTCAGCATTTGGTATTGTCACTATTTTTTATTTTGACCATTCTAATAGGTGTATAGTGATACCTCATTGTGGTTTTAAATTGCATTTCTCTGGTGGCTAGTGATGAACATTGTTTCATGTGCTTATTTGCAATCTGTTGTCTATGCTCTTTGGTGAAATATTTTGTTCATGTCTTTTTTTCATTTTTTAATTTGATTTTTTTTTCTATTCAGTTTCACATACTAGACTTGTCAAGCGTATGGTTTACAAATATTTTCTCCCAGTCTGCAGCTTGACTTTTCGTCCTCTTCACAGTGTTTAAATAGCAAAACTTTTTACGTTTTTTTTTTTTTTTTTTTTTTTTTTGAGATGAAATCTTGCACTCTCACCCAGACTGGAGTACAGTGGCACAATGTCAGCTCACTGCAGCCTCCGCCTCCTGGGTTCGAACAATTCTCCTGCCTCAACCTCCCAAGTAGCTTGGACTACAGGTGTGTACCACCACGCCCAGCTAATTTTTTTTCTATTTTTGTAGAGATGGGGTTTTGCCATGTTGGCCAGGCTGGTCTCGCACTCCTGTCCTCAAGTGGTCTACCCACCTTGGCCTCCCGAGGTGCTGGGATTACAGGAGTGAGCCACCGTGTCCAGCCAAAACTTTTTAATTTTAATGCGGTCCATCTTTATCACCAGTTTCTTTATGGATCATGCTTTTGGTGTCAAGCCTAAGAACTGTTTGCCTAGCCCTAGATCCTGCAGATTTTCTTTTTTTTTTTTTTTTTTTAATAAATGTTTTATAGTTTTACATTTAGGTTTATGATGCATTTTGAGTTAGTTTTGTGTAAGGTGTGAGGTTTATTTTAGATTGTAGATATCCTTCCTCTGTTGAATTACCTTGGCACTTTTGTCAGTAATCAGTTGAAAATATTTGCATGGGTCTGATTGTCAGCTCTCCACCATTAGCTTTTCACCTAATAGGTTTAGCAGCCATTGATAATCTTTTTTTTTTTTTTTTTTTTTTTTTTTTGAGAGGATGTCCCACTCTGTTACCCAGGCTGGAATGCAGTGGTGTGATCTCAGCTCACTGCAGCCTCCACCTCCCAAGTTCAAGCAATTCTCCTACTTTAGCCTCCTAAGTAGCTGGTATTACAGGTGCCCACCACCACGCCTGCATAATTTTTGTATTTTTAGTAGAGATGGGGTTTCACCATGTTGGCCAGTCTTGAACTCCTGACCTCAAGTGATCACCCGCCTCGGCCTCCCAAAGTGCTGAGATTACAGGCGTGCGCCACCATGCCTGGTCTGATGATGGTTTTTTATTTTATTATGGGTTACAGAATAGTAGTAGTTCATGATTCCTTCATTTATTAGCTGGAATGCTTCTCCAAAAGACATTCTCCTAATCAGCTCTGTGGTTGCTCTGAAGTACATTTTTCACAGGAAAATACAGGATAAATGTTTGCTTTCTTCCTTTCATATATACCTGTTTGCAGAATAATGACATGGCTCCTTTCATCCTCCAACGGTGACCAATAATAATTTCTAAGTATCATTATAAACTAATGGATTTTCAGCATGTTTGATTCAATCCATTGCCATAATTGTTGTTATTGATACTTGAGTTGGCTCACTTTGCCAGTAGGAGTCTATTCGGATTGGCATCTGAGTCCATTTGACACAACTCCTTTGATCTTTGACAGTTTCCTTGTTTTTAGGTACAAGATTTTTCAGACTCACCTTAGACACTTCCTGCCACACGCTTAGAATCAACCATTTCTCTAAGGGACCTTCATTCTATTTCACGAGAAATGATAGAGACCACAATCAAAACAAATCATGAATTTAAACTGATATTTTCAATTCAAATGAAAGACATTTTTGCTAAAATTTCTTGAGTTTGTATGTCTTATGCTGAAAAATCTTGATTCCTGATTAGTAACATAATTATTCATTTGATAGGTAAATATTTTATATTTGGTTTTATAGCCAAAATACCCTGTTGATAAAGTCTTGTGGGAGCAATTATAAGACTGGCTTATTTAGGAGATTTTTTAAAAAGATACCCCTACCTGTTTTAACTGTACATTATATTAACTTAAATAGGTACAGCCCACGCTTGATGGAAAAAATTCTCCAAATGGCTGAAGGTATTGATATCGGGGAGATGCCTTCATATGATCTGATGCTGCCCAAGTCTTCCAAAGGTCAAAAACGCCACCTCTCAACATGTGATGGTGAGTATACTTGTTTCTGAAAGGTGGGATTTCAAGAAACAACATGGCTTTTAAAAATGATATGAGTGTGGTATATTATTTCAAACAACATTGATAACATTAGTTCTTACACACATGTAAAAGAGTTTTAGCTTTTAGTTATATACACTTTTTTGAGGATGCTAATAGAATTGAAACTAAGAATACTGAAATCATACAATCCTTGAAGTTTATGCCATAGAACCTCCCTCTAACTAGAATCTTATCTCGTGATCACTTGAGCATCTAAGTCACTAAATCTTCTTGGATGGGTCCAGGATGGATGAGCTTTCTACTGAGCAGTGTTATAGGAAAGAAGCTCTAGTGTCTGGTATAGCCTCATCCAAGTTCTTCCATAGCTTTAAATTTGGCATCTCCGCTAAATCATTAGTTTCCAGCTGTTGTTCTAGAAAGAAAATAGAGCAAACACCCTTTTGTGATGAATGGGTCAGAACTGAGGTTTTGAAGTTGAAAACCTTTAGAATCTTTTGATAATTCTTTTTCTCTGAGTTTTAGTCACAACTATGTAAAGCACCATCACAGAGTCACTCACTTCTGATACAAAAGAGAAAGGCTTTGTAAGTGCCTCTGGTCATCATCTCTCTTGCATTAGAGCCATCTGTTCCATTTGTAGTCCTTAAGTGAGCTTTTCAGCATGGGTGGTATGAGATTGTACTGGAACAATCTTCCAGTCCACTTCACCTTCCAGCACAAGGTGAAGAGTGTATTTCACCTGTGCTTTAGCTCATTTGATGCAAAAGCATCTACCAGTCATGTGTGGTGGTGACCTGCATACTTGACTCAATGGTATATTTTCTATCAAAGGTCTTCCCTTACATGTGGAAAGATAGGGAGCATCCCTCCTTATGCTGGAATCTTAGATTGATAATTGAGTCCCTTTGCCCAAATGACATGAAGTTTTTGTAATGGGAAGTATCTTGTACCAACAATGCAGCTTGCAAATAATATGGTTGGTACTATTTTCCTGCTTGGTTCTTTTGAAATATTCCCATTTTAATGAATTGTAAATTTCACTCATTCTATAGGTCAAAATCCTCCTAAAAAGCAAGCCGGTTCCAAATTCCATGCGAGACCTCGTTTTGAGCCTGTACATTTTGTAGCTAGTAGTTCAAAAGATGAAAGACAGGAAGATCCTTATGGCCCTCAAACAAAAGAGGTAAATGAACAAACACATTTTGCCAGCATGCCAAGAGACATCTACCAAGATTATACTCAAGACTCTTTCAGTATACAAGATGGGAATTCTCAGTATTGTGATTCATCAGGATTCATTTTCACAAAAGACCAGCCTGTAACAGCCAACATGTATTTTGACAGTGGGAACCCCGCCCCAAGCAGCACATCACAGCAGGCAAACTCTCAGTCAACTCCTGAGCCTTCACCATCACAGACATTTCCCGAGTCCGTGGTAGCTGAGAAGCAGTATTTTATTGAAAAATTAACAGCGACTATCTGGAAGAACCTTTCTAATCCAGAGATGACTTCTGGATCTGATAAAATTAATTACACATACATGTTAACTCGTTGTATTCAGGCATGTAAGACAAATCCTGAGTATATATATGCTCCTTTAAAGGAAATTCCTCCTGCCGACATCCCCAAAAATAAAAAACTTCTAACTGATGGCTATGCTTGTGAAGTTAGATGCCAAAATATCTACTTAACTACAGGTTATGCTGGCAGCAAGAATGGGTCCAGGGATCGAGCTACTGAGCTAGCTGTAAAACTCTTGCAGAAACGTATTGAAGTTAGAGTTGTCCGGCGGAAATTTAAGCATACGTTTGGAGAGGACCTCGTGGTGTGTCAGATTGGCGTGCCCTCCTATGAATTTCCTCCAGCTCTGAAACCACCAGAGGACCTGGTGGTGCTGGGTAAAGATGCTTCCGGGCAGCCAATTTTTAATGCTTCCGCCAAACACTGGACCAATTTTGTCATTACAGAAAATGCAAATGACGCAATTGGTATCCTTAACAATTCTGCCTCATTCAACAAGATGTCAGTTGAATACAAATATGAGATGATGCCAAATCGCACATGGCGTTGTCGAGTGTTTTTACAAGATCACTGCTTAGCTGAAGGTTATGGAACCAAGAAAACAAGTAAACATGCAGCTGCCGACGAGGCTTTGAAAATTCTTCAAAAAACGCAGCCCACTTACCCATCTGTCAAAAGTTCACAATGCCATACAGGCTCTTCACCCAGAGGATCTGGAAAGAAGAAAGATATAAAGGATCTTGTGGTTTACGAGAATTCTTCCAATCCCGTGTGCACACTGAACGACACAGCTCAGTTTAACCGAATGACAGTTGAGTATGTCTATGAAAGGATGGCAGGCCTCCGCTGGAAATGCAAAGTGATTCTAGAGAGCGAAGTAATTGCAGAAGCAGTTGGGGTGAAGAAAACTGTCAAATATGAAGCTGCTGGGGAAGCTGTGAAAACCCTCAAAAAGACCCAGCCAACTGTCATTAACAACTTGAAGAAAGGAACTGTTGAAGATGTGATTTCAAGAAATGAAATTCAGGGCCGCTCAGCAGAGGAGGCTTATAAACAGCAAATCAGAGAAGATAACATCGGCAATCAGCTGCTGAGAAAGATGGGTTGGACTGGTGGTGGTTTAGGTAAATCTGGTGAGGGCATACGGGAGCCTATCTCAGTCAAAGAGCAGCATAAGCGGGAGGGGCTTGGTCTGGATGTAGAGAGGGTGAATAAAATTGCCAAGAGAGATATTGAACAGATCATCAGAAACTACGCCCGCTCTGAGAGCCACACAGATTTGACTTTTTCTAGAGAGCTGACTAATGACGAACGGAAGCAAATACATCAGATTGCCCAGAAGTATGGTCTTAAGAGTAAGTCTCATGGGGTGGGCCATGATAGGTACCTGGTGGTAGGTAGAAAAAGACGGAAGGAAGACCTACTAGATCAGCTCAAACAGGAAGGCCAAGTGGGCCATTACGAGCTTGTTATGCCTCAGGCAAATTGAGATCTTCCTATGCCTCAAGCCAATTGAGATCTTCCAATGCCTCAAGCAAATTGAGATCTTCCTAATTTATTTTGTAAATGCCTAATGAGGCAGATTTTTGAATTTAAAAAATGCTACATGTCCTGGTTGCAGAGTATATTCATCTTAAGATGTCTCACCTTGTTCATTTCATATAGTGGTTTATTAAATATTGGAACCTAAAGAATTAATTCTGTCCACTTGTATTAGCTTAATCCAGCAGATATTGTGCAGTTACTGTTTGTGTCTTTGATATTGCTGTGTCCCTCAGATTTTAGCAGTTTGACAAGCAAGAACACATATCCAAATGGAATTTTACCCCGAGAAAGAAATCCTCATTTTAAAGGGCATAGCACAGCAATCTGCAACAATATGTAAAGTTGATATTGACTACAATATCTTAATTCCAGATTTACTGAAAATGTCAGATCATTTTGTATTAATCTATTTTCATCTTTGTGTGAAGCCAGTTATAGAATGTTTAACATTAAATTGTGCTGTACATGTAAATGTCCTTACCAACTAAATGATGTAAAACTTTCTTAAAGTAATTTTAGTGTTCATTTATTTATAACTTCTACCATGTGATTTCCAGAATATTGGAAGTGATTTACTGTATCTTGTGATATATGGGTTTTAACAAAATCTAGTCTTCACGCTGAGAGAGCACTACTTGAGAGAGCAGTTGAAAGTTTCAAAAACTTTGGTTCAATCTGAAGAAAGGAAGCTTGAACTGTTTGTTCTTGGTGCCTTGCAGAGAGACTCACAGCAACTCTCCATTATAGCTTTCACACGGTTTGGATGTGCAGGACATCCAAGGCAGCCACAGCTGTGGTAGAGCTTGGTAAAAGACTGAAGACACATTGGTGCTTTGATGCAAAGGTCAGTTGGCTGGTCCCTCTCTCAAAAAGCTTATTAAGCCTGAAAAGCCAACTTTGTAACATATTTAAAACTGCTATTTTCGCTTATTTCTGGAATGTAAAAAAATGTATAAAAAGAATTAGTGTATACTTCCTGAATAAAAAAGAGCCAAAGTTGAGAATGGTGGCGTGCTCATTTCCGGGCAGCAGCCTTGTAGCAACACTGGGTCTTTGGAGAAGGGAAGTGGTGTTTGCGCAGAATATTTCAACACCCAGAGCACGTGTGGATGAAGGTACTGATTTAACAGATAGGAATCAGTCAACTATCACTTTTTTCCTGTGGACCAACACGCTCGCTTCAACCAAATCTTAGGCTGCTGCCTTTTATGTGATTTTGTATCTCAGATAAATCAAGTATAACCTCATAACAGCACAGGTGAATATTACCATTGATCATTAAACACCTCTAATGAAATGATGTTTGGGACAATTAGGTGGTTTACGATGCCTGAAAATATTTAGCACCATGCTTGACATGTAATTGGCCAACAAGAAATAGTAATTTCCTTTCCCCTAGTTGTTTTTTGTTTTTCGACATGGAGTTTTGCTGTTGTTGCCCAGATTGGAGTGCAATGGTGTAGTCTTGGCTCACTGCAGCCTCCACCTCTGGGGTTCAAGCAATTCTCCAGCGTCAGCCTCCCAAGCAGCTGGGATTATAGGCACTCACTACTATACTTGGCTAGTTTTTGCATTTTTAGTAGAGATGGGGATTTCACCATGTTGGCCAGGCTGGTCTTGAACTCCTGACCTCAGGTGATACGCCCACCTTGGCCTCCCAAAGTGCTGGGATTATAGGCATGAGCCACCATGCCTGGCCCTGTTTTTTATATTTTACATTAAGCAGCTTCCCACTGTAGTTAAATTGTTTTTAAAATATAAAGAGATTCTTAGCTTTTACACCTGGATCTCTGTAACTGTTAATCATTTTTGGTGACTAACCAGTGTGGTCATTGCTTTCCATTAACCATCTTCCTACAGTGCATAGCCTTTCCTAATGTTGGTAGGAAGAGAAATGTGTCTATTTTATTTTGGCACTTCATATTAACATGGGCAAAAAGAACTAAGCAAAATATTTATAGATTTTATATGATTACAGTTTTTTTTTTTTTTTAATGAATGAGAGGTTCTTATGTTGCCTAGGCTGGCCTCAAACGTGTAGCCTCAACTCCTCAAGTGCCAGGACAACTGGCCTGAGCCACTGTGGCTCCCACAATTTTTTTTTTTTCTTTTTTTTTTTGGGACAGGGTCTCACTCTGGTTACCCAGGCTGGAGTGCACTGGCACAATCTCAGCTCACTGCAACCTCCGACTCCCGAGTAGCTGGCACTACAGGTGTGCACCACCTGGCCCATCTAATTTTTTGTATTTTTAGTAGAGATGGGATTCTGGTCTCTGCCAGACAGACCAGCCTGGTCTCAAGCTCCTGGACTTAAGCAGTGTACCCTCCTCAGTCTCCCAAAGTGCTGGGATTACAGGCATAAGCCACCACACCCAGCCTACAGGTTTCTTTTTAAACTTACAAGGTTCATGCCAATCTTGAGAAGCTATAGTTGACTTTGTGAGTTAAAAAAAACCTGTCTCCAGTTTTCTGAGTAAGAGTGCCTTTGGGGATTAAGGGATATGACAACTTGACTGATTCTTTACATTTCTTTCTTCTTCCCCAAATGATTTTAAGGTGGGGAAAGGTAAGCAAATGTTAAATGTGAATCTGGTTTGTCTAGGTGAGTCCAACAGAACAGAATATTAAGGTAGTTAGAGTTAGGAAGGCTCCTAAATAATTGTGCCAAGTAGATACAAATTTGGTGACTGGATTTGAAGGGCCAGATTGCCTAACTTGTTAGGATCTGTGATACTGATACAGAATTAGAGCAAAATCACCTAACTTGCTTGAGGATAAAATAATGTTGAGAATGGCGTTGGCATGAATGAGCTGCTGACAAGCTCACTCTTGTTCCATTTTGTCCCCTTTCAGTTGGTTCCTGTATTTTCCCTTTCTTTGAAATGTAGTCATTCTTAACCCAGTAACCTTCCTATAAAATCTGCACAGGTACATAAGCAGTTTCAAATTTTATTTGGATTACTTAAATGTTTCTTATACTGAGGAACTGTGCTTTCCATTTTATATCTAGTATTGAGTCTCATAGATGTACTTTTTGGATTTTTTCCTCCCCTTTGATTGCAAAATGAATGGAAATATGCATTTTGTTGGGATTCTTTTTTAGTAGTATACAATGCATTCTCTTTGCTATGAGTAACCCCTGAAGCTGGAGATGGGTCCTAAATAAAGGATTCTAATTGCAGCTTTGGTTCCGCATCATACCTCCTTCCCCACATCAGCTGGTGCAGAATTGAAAAGTTCAAACCTGACTGCTATTTGAAAAAGGGACTTTGCACATTTGTTTTTGTTAACTTTGTTATCGATACGTGCAGATAGCCTGTATTGTATTGTGGTGTTTATTAAAAATGTTAAAGGTAGAAAGAGGCAATTAGCATAAAATGTTCAAATGAATGGTTTGTGGTGCCTTTGATCACGCACATGTTGTTTTGGGAGGTCAGCTTGTTATCTCTGTTGTAAGGTTTTAAACAGATTATCCCATGAAAGAGATTGGGAATAGTGTTTCTTAGGTGTACAAAAGAAGAAAGTTATTAAACCTGACCGTTCTGAGTCTCGCCTTAAATTTTCTCAGGTATGATTAACAGTGTCAATATATAAGGCACTCAGCCATGTGGCAGGATGAAAAACTTAATGTAAAACAAATCCACCAAATGGAGAAATTTAATGTGGTTCTACTTTGAAGCAGAAATGGACTTGGGGGAAAATATTAAGCAAATGTAAGGACATTGCTCCTAGGTGAAATAATCCAAGTAATGTGGTCATTAGTGCAGATTGTACTCCCCCATACTGAGGCTTCAAGTACCATGTCTTAAGGGATGAATGGGATACATGTGTCATAAGGACTTCATTTAGCCCCATCCACACAACCAAACAAGTACCAAGAGGTGATCATTGTTTTTTTGTTTGTTTGAGACAGGGTCTTGCTGTGTTGCCCAGGTTGGAGTGCAATGGCATGATCTCGGCTCGCTGCAACCTCTGCCTCCCAGGTTCGAGCGATCCTCCTGCCCCAGCCTCCCTAGTAGCTAGGATTACAGGCATGCACCACCATTCCTGGCTAATTTTTTTATTTTTAGTAGATGGGGTTTCACCATGTTAGCCAGGCAGGTCTCGAACTCCTGACCTCAGGTGATCCACCCACCTCAGCCTCCCAAAGTGCTGGGATTACAGGTGTGAGCCACTGCGCCCACCCAGGTGATCGTTTTTACAAAGTCATTGTCCTTGCCTCTTTAAAATGAGACGAGTTGCTCCTCAGAAAAAAAGCAGTTTTGTTTAATCAAAATGATTGAGGATACCTGTACTCCCAAACTTTACACAGGATTTAAAATGCCATCTAATAATTTGGTTGGTTGTTTTTGAGCTAGGGCTTTTAAAGAGGTGGAATGTCAGGATCAACAAGTTAGATCTTGGTCTCTGAGGGTGCTGATAAATACCCAAGTTAGTTCATTCCCTCCTCCTCTCCCCTCCTCATAACTTCATTCCCTTAATTTACTATAATGCATACTGAGGTAACTTTGTTTTATTTATACTTTTATATTCTGTTAAAATGTTTAAAAAGCATCACCATTTAGGACTGAAAAGAAAAAAAAAGGTTCTCTCCAAAAGTATGTCTTGGTTTTTCCACTCCCAGAATGAGTATTTTTGCTTTTACCTTAATGTTTAAGGGGGCGAAATAAGCACATATGAGATCCCAGTAAGAAACCAATACAAAAAGTTTCTACAGAGCTAAAATAAAATTATACCTTGACTATGAAATTTTAAGGTTATTTTTATTTACAACTTTTGAAAAATGTACATTTTTTTTTACATGGGTTACTTGTGCAAAGTTAGATTTAGAAGTGATAAATGCATAAAAGGTGACAATAGAACATTAGACAAAACATTTAAAAGCCTTGTCCCATACTGCTACTTAAAGGTACTATATATCTAAAAGTATAAATATCCAAAAAAAAGATTGCAGATGTTGGCTTTAAGGTTCTCAGATGCTGAAAGGGAAGAAATTAAAGCATGCAGCAATAACTCAGGATTTGAGTGGAAAACAGTTTGCCACAGATATGCTATGCTCCCTTCCTTGAATTCATTAAGACTATAAAATAAAGATGGAGAATTGAGTTTATTTATCTAGGGCAGCAATGATCCTTTAAAAATACGAAAGGATTTCCAATTTTCCCTAGCTCAAAAACTGATGGTTGTTTCCATTGTGCTCCCACACCTCTTTTAAAAAGCAAAAACCCAGAAGACCAATATTCTGAAACTTAGCAAAGGTGTGCCCAGTCAGTAGCTTGCAAAGAGAGGATTTGTCAGTTACTACAATTGCTGTACTCCTTTAGTTGAGTCCTTCAACATTCTCCTTCTTGCCAGTAAATACTATCTAGTAATTCATGAGTGAGATCCTAGTAACAATAGGATTTTTAGCTCCCATTCTTCTCAAAATTGTTTACATGGATTTGTTTCTATTCTCTGTAGACCACATTCCAAACACATTCACTTCTAATCCAACAGAAGTGAAGGACTAGCCAGGATGAAACACTTCAGCAATCATTTTGTTAAGAATAACATCCTGGTCATCAAGCTATGCATATGCACCTCTTGTATAACAATTTACCTTAAATCTTAAAGTACAATAATAAAAATAACTGCCTGAAAACTGGAAATGAAATACAACAGAAAAACTTAAGCATTAGTAATTTTTTGCAAGTAACCCAGGTACAGTACATTTGATTTCAAAGAAGGTGTTTTCTGATGTTTAAGGAGAAGGTAGAAGGGGTAGGAAAACTTGGCGAGGGAAGATGGAAACAGCACAACAGCTATTTTGCTTTTAATAAAGTAAATGTAATGACAAGAGTAGGGAGGTGACAAACACATCAATATATATTTTTCTTAATGGCCAGCTTCTTCTTTAACTGTACCCGGGGTCAACAATCGCGCCAGCTTTGTTCTACTATTGCAGAAACACGCTTTTCATATTCCCGCTTGTTCTCCTGGTACAGCTGAGCAGCCTGGCTGT